TTCTAATACAGTGAAATCTATATAAGAGGCCATCCTTTTTAGGCAACCTTCTGTTTCAAGAGACTACCCTCCCCACAGTATTTTATTTTAAAACCCCAATTAATTGTTATCCAAGGGTCTGATACAAAACCGACTGAAGTCAATGGGAGTCCTTCCATCAATGTCAATGAGTTTGGATCAGGCCCCACGTAATCGCTTAAGTCAAGTTGTACTCCTTTTTATACTCTGTTGAATGGAGTACCAGTCTGCACTCTGAATACTATTATAATTTTAAATGAGTTTAACTTTTAGTAAAAGCAAAGGTTCACAAAAATGTCCTTCAATAATATGTCAGAAAATGAAGCTACACAGAATGAGTCAAATTCTGCCATTAGAAGGCCAGTAAAAACCAAATGAACTCAGAATCTGGCCCAGTAACTTGTTAGCATATTTTAGTCATCTACATCCAGTTTAAACTGAGCTTTCTTCCTCAAATTTATGTCTTGAAGAAAGAGACCTGGAACGAATATTTCTGATTATGTCTTGTAATATCCTCTGAGTGTTCTCATATAGGCTAGTGAAGTGAAAACCAGTGCCACAGACTTACATTTTCTTATGTTTCATAGAAATGAAAAATGGCATATTCTTATCTGCCAAATTATTCATGTGGTTCTGACCCTGCCAGTTGCTGAATTTTTAAATTTCATTTTTATTTCTTTAAAAAAATACAATTTAAAAAGATCTTGCAATAAAACTAGTTATAATAACCATTAAATGCCCACAAAATGTTTAGAGATAAGATTGACAGCTTCTGCAGGTAAACCAAGATACATTCACATCAATTACTAATATATTAATCCATTCAAAATAGTTTTCTCCAGAAAACATGAAAAAAAATATTGCCATCTACAAAGCAGACAGTATTTGGATAAATGATTCCATGTGGAAACAATGTAGTGGCCACCAGACCCTGAACCTTTCCCTCTCTAAATTAACTATTTCTATTTCATTTTAGCCAATGAACTTCCTGTGTGGTATTTGGCTTTTCATGTTAGCTTTATTTCATCATAGTAAGCTATATTAAGAAAGCTACCTATTTTGCATTGGTACAGAATAATTACATTTGAAAAATGGATGAGTGAAGGGAAAATTTGGTTGAAAAAAATAAAGAAAGATGTTTACCAGCTTGTCAGGCAGAAGCACTTAGAGTTTCTTAAGCCTTAAACTACATTTTTCTTTTAGAAATTACTTACTAAGACCTACAAGCCAGACAGGCAGGTTTTCCCAGTGGCATTCTGAACTGAGGGTGAGGAATAGTAATCCTGGACATCAGCCAATTCCAATGCAAACTGCTTTGTACTGGAGGGCAAGCCAAGTCTCCTAAATACAACATCCTGGTGTTTCTGAAGATCTGTGATACTCTCACCTTCCTGTGTTGGTATTGAGAAAATCAAGTGTTTTCTTTTAAATAATGAACATCACACTGCATGCCCAGCAATAGCAATACAGGCCTGTTGCTTCACTATTAAATGTAAAATGAACATCAAAATGTAACTCAGCTATTTGATTAACTTTCAGCCACTATTTGGAACACACTTGTGCATCAATGTGCACACAGGCCCAGATCCTCAAGTGGTATAAACTAGCGTAATTCCATTAAAGTCAATGGAGCATTGTCAATTTACATAGCTGAGAATCTGACCTGTGGTTTTAAACAAGGACACATGAAACAATAGCTATAGTTACCTATATATATAGTTAATGGCTCACGTTCCTTTTACAGCACCACTGAGGCTCAGAATTAAGGGTAAGTGTTAAAATTAGTGAGAATGATTATTTTCTCTCCTCTGAAAATGAGAAGTGGATTGTCAACATTTCTGTGAGGTTTTTAATGGTGATGTTTACACCGCCGATAACTGACACATCATAAGAGAAAGTGAGGCATGAATTTGAATTGTCACAGTGTAAAGCCCTTCTTTGTTACATCAGAGTACTGATTTCAAGTAATTCAAACGACACAAATGGTATCCACAATGACCATACCTGACTCAAACTTCCAATGACTGTTCATGTATAATTGACATCACATTATCACTGTTGGGAGCTGAATTTACCCCAGCTCAAATATTACACAGCAAACAGAGTTTCACTTGATTTTCCTATACTGAAGAATCAAAAGAAGCAACGCCCTTTGATGCAGCAGCTACCTTATTATTTAGGCTTTATGCAAAAGCAACAGAACATAACATCAGAAATCATGCACCCAAATGCAAACAAGCCACACCTTTGGAAAACAGTTCAGTGTTATACGAGTAAACAAAAACATATATTAGTCATTCACTCAAAATATGAATAGCTAATGGAGTTTATGAGATTAAACCTCCAAGCCTGACTAGTAGCATTCAAGGTCCCCATATAACTTTTTTTATTTAAGGTATCACAGCAAGCACAGGATTTTTTAAAATAAAACTTCTAATTGTATATAAACGATCATTGTTATTAGCAAGCAAAAGATATTAGCAAAGTAAATGGTTACAAAAATCTTCCCTACATGCTTTTGGACAATTAGTGTTCTCCCTCAGCTATCAAATTTTGACCTTGAAAAATCACACAGACCACAGTTGTGATTTCTAGATTCATTAGCATGGCCAGGAACCAAACTGCAAGTCTATTTTTATTAGCTTCTCAACCACTTTGCCAGCTATTCATTTGAATCTTCAAAATGTTTTCTAAACACTCATCTCTGAATCATAATGCAAATACCATTTACTGAAAAGGTGGAACCTTTAATATAACAAATGAACATGTTTAATGACTGATACTTTTATACATTACAGCATCTCTTATGTTTTCAGTAAATGGATATAATTATCCCTGCATTACCCTATTATTATCCTTCCTTAGCATTACTATGCTACATTTTCAACTGCAGTTCACCCCCCACCAATTGGATTCTGAAGCTAACCCAAACAACCAGGTTTGAATGACGGCAGGCTAATGAAGCTACAAGACATTTCAGGCCTGGTTGGATATTTTACACATACAATGTATTTGCTTTCTGAATTTATGACTCATCTTTAAATCTGTTCCAGGGGTATGGCAGTCTCAAATTGCACACGGATTTTATATTAGAAAAAAAATTGTACAAAATACGAGTTTAATTTCAAAAGCAAATAAATTCTGCTGTCTATAATCAGCGTAACTTACACAGTCAAAAGGCTGATCTCACTCCCATTGTAATATGCAGCTTTGCAAGGAACAGGAATGGGCCAGCTATGCAATCCTCCTGAAGTATGCTTATAACACCATTCATGTTTATAGGAGTTATGCACACACACATCAAGAGGAGACTAGGTCACTCGAGAGTACACAGAAGAATAAAAATGGGGGTGGGGAAGAACAATAAGCCATAAAGGGATCTGTCTGGTTCCAAAGAGACAACAGACTGCAAAACAACTAGTAAAACCAACCTACTTGAATGCACCAGATAACGTCAATTTTGGTTTATAAATTTTACAACATTGAACTAACCTAAACTGACAATATTGTATTTAGTCAGCCAAACCTTATGTTTTGACTTCACTTGAAGATAAGAACTTAACAGAAGAACAATATATTTGTAAGCACTTTATGAAAGCATACTGAATATGAAGTACTTTTTAGCACCTTACCCTAAAACTGGAAGGCTGTATTTTCAATTTTTCATCAGCTTTTCTGCTATGGGCCTGATCCAGCAATCCTTACTCTGGCAAACAGACCCTATTCACATGAACAGTCCATGGGACTAATTACATGAGTAAGGAGAGCAGTGTAAGATGAGTTAAAAAAATTATCTTGTAATATAAACACGGCTGTTTACAATTTGTGTTTTCTATGATTACGGGCTTGAACTAAAGCCCATAGAAGTCAACAGGAGTCTTTCCCATTGAATCAGGCCAGTATCATCAGTTCACATGTTAATTAATGAACTGTGTGTGTGCTAATACTATAATTTTTGGATTTTAGCATCTTTTGGGGTGGAATTATATTCTATTTCATTTTAAAATCTCAGTTGTTGCATATAGCAATGATGCCTTTTTATTCTTACTTGAAATTAAAAGTTACCAAAGAGATACAGAGGGCCAGATCCTCAGCCACTGAAGTCTTCCATTCTAGTCTTTTCAAGTTCTTATACCATGCTCATCACTGCAGTATTTCAGTGCCCTACATTAAGCAATGTGACTAACATCTGCCATGTGTTTGTTCTCTCCTCCTCTCCCCAGGGGAAGAAGTGTGTGCAGTGGAGTGTTTTGTGGTGGAATTTATATGTAAAATATAAAAAATAAAACCTATATAGATTCCCCCCCCACATACATACATATACACACACGTTGCTATATGGTTAAAGTTAGAGAAAGGAAGGTCAAGGACGCACACGTTGCACTTGGAGCAGAAGATGGGGAGGTCTGGAATGGTCCTGAGCTCCTGAGGGAGTTCATTCCATAGCCTGAGGGGAAGGACCCGGCCCCTCCCTCCCCCCAGAACACTGACTCCTGCACAGACAATCTTTATCCTTACCGTAGAAAGTTTCATTGTCCCTTAGGAGTGGAGTTATCAACCATAGTTTTGGACGTTAGAGTCATGATGATTTACATCAGCTGAAGTTGGGCCCTGTTCACAAATTAATTTAATCGGAAGTAGGTGCTCTGTTCAGCCCTTAGTTATACCAATGAAATCACCTTGATTTCAGTGAAGCTAATGAGCTTGCACCGATGTAACTAAGGGCACAATCAGGATTGTCTTTTGGATATGCTTTTAAATAAGAACACTGTTAGGAAGTGTAAATCATAATGAGGATTGGCTTGTGTAGAACACTAAAAATGTGTGCTCAGTTTCTGTACTGCGAGAGTCTGCACAAGCCAGATCTTGCAGGATTCTCCCGTGCTGAAGCTGGACATATTTTGTGTTCAAATTGTCCCTAAGTAATTGAAACTTGATTCAAGTAGTAAACAGTCAAAATATAGCTGTGAGCAAATACGTACCTCTTCCACTTCTACCCACAAATCTGAGGTCATTGAACCTTGCTACTTGGTTTTTCATGGCAGCTGTAGCATTTCTGAGCTCTGCAGAGTAGTTTTCATCATTTCCAGCCATTACTGTGACCAGTGTCCCATCAGGAACATCGCCTAAGGCCACTACCTGAAAGATTAAATAGAAGAATCCTCAGTCTTCGTAAGTGAAATGTATCAGTAAATAACCTGATGAAAAGGGGAAAAGCAACAAATTATATAAATTAAAAGGCTACTTGGAGTAAATAGGATATATTTCCAAATGTAGCTTACAGAGCCAGATACAAATATTTGCATCTATATATGTCTAAAGTACCTAATTGCACCTAAATATGTACAATACACGTAACATGCATACATTTATATTTACCAATACATAAATAAATCAAAACAACAGGACCTGATTCTGATCTCATTTGCATCAGTGTAGGTCAGGGAATAACTCCATCAAAATCAATAGAATTACACTGGTATAAAATTAGTGCAAGAACAAAACCAAGCCTATTGTCTCTTTGACATAACAGAATTGATTCCGCACAGTGTCTATCTAGTTTTGTGTCATGTAATGTCATGGATTTTAATGCTGATACACCAGTGCAAAACTGTGGGAAATCAGGCCCAAAATATACATTTGATCACTGTTCACAAAACCATTTCTTTTTTCCTTTTAGAAACAAGAAAGCAAGTTAATGAAATTAGAACTGTCCCCAAACTTTGTTAAAATTGTAATGTGAACTGATAAAACCCGAAATATTTAAATCAAAGGCTTAAGCTCTGTCACTAATGTTTCCATTGTGTTTCAGCAGTGCCAATATCTATAAAAATCACCTAATATTTAGGAACATATGTGATGTTACATTTCTGACACAATGTGCTATATGACATTTAGATTTCTAGCCTCAACTTTTCTGATTTCTCTCAACTGTGTCACAGTGCTCATGTTCATTAACCATTTTAGTATTTAATTTCATCTTAAACTCTTGTGCAAGACCCAGTTCTGACCTCACTTAGACAAGTTTTACACTGGTGAAATAATAAAATAAAATAATGATTATAATAAAATCTAGCTCTTTTTAGTTTCTTCTTTTATAGATTTTAAGAGGAAGTAAGTAGTCCTGCTTCACATCCTCAGAGGTACTGCTTGATTTTTTCCCTTCCTCTTAGCATTTTCTAGTTCATGTTCATGCAGTTAAAATGTCTCATTGCTTTTCACAACTCAGTTTATTTGTTACTCTTACATCACTCTGATATTTCTGAACAGGTCCATAGCTCCTTTACCTATTCTCTTTATTATACTTATTTCTTACTCATAATAATTCAGAAGTCTCTGATCTCCCTTTCACTTACATAGGCTACACTTTGCACCTTAATGTTCTCTGATGTGTTCTAAATAGTCTATAACCCTTATTCTTGATTCCACATATAGAGTTGTGCTCATTGTGTTGAAATTCCCTCTTTGTGCATATATTTCTACTTCCTCTTCCCCAACCCTCTTCAGCAGCCCATGTGTTTGTTTTTTGTTCTCATCTGTACACAACAAAAATGCTGTATAATCAGCATTATGTATTTCAAATCCTCCTGTTCTTGGCATGCAATGTTTTCTCTCTCCAGACTGTTGTGTGGTGTGGCAATTTGGCTCTCAAAATCCTCAATCATGAACCTGATGTGCTTACCAAGTTTTTTTTAAAAAGCCTGTAATAAAATAATTATTCTACATATATTAAAGACTTCAGATATAAGGAAAAACATATAGGAAAACCCCATTTTACATGAGTAGTTGTGTGATTATTTAAGGAATTATGTACGCGTATATTAAGTGGAGAACAAACCTTCATGAATTACTGAGATAATGCTCTTAAATTGAAAAAGAATATGTTTAAAATTCACCATATTTACAATTCACCAAAGACAACTTCTATGATAAGCTATTTGAAGAAATGATTATAAAAATAATATATAAAACATGTGTGCATACACACAGAAGAAAAAAAAACTGGAATGAAAAGTCATAAACGAGAGGCACTGACGAAATACAAACATTTACATTATAAAACAGACTAAACAGATAAGTAGGAACTTGCTGACTGGAGATATCTAGTATTTTGTTTTAAAAATATATGTTCAGAATATCAGCAAACCCATGCCACAGCACACCTAAACCTCCCAATCTTGGTCCATCAGCCAAACAAAGTTGGTCTCTTAAATTAGGATTCAGATGATTTCCTAACAGTATGTTGAACAATTAACCAATATTACAATTTATTATTAATCTGCATCAATAATTGCAATTTACAATATTTAAATTCCTTATAACTTTCCTTTATTTTAAAAGAAAATCCTGGATGTTTTTGGTTTAAAATGGAATTGTGATTCTAAAGACTATATGCAATAAGTGATTCTTTTTTAAAAAAATCTATTTTATTTTATTGTTTGGAGTGTAAGCATGGGGGGAAAGAGGGCATATCGATCTGTAGAAATCTCTTGGTTTGTATTGGTACAATGAATATTACCAAGTACCCTACAAATCCCACTGCTACATTTAAGCATAGGATCTTGGCAGTATATAGATGATTTGAACCGAACTCTGTGTAACTAGGTATTATGTGTTACCCAGTTCTCGCACGATACAGATTATTTTCAGATGGATCGGAATACTTTCAAAAGGGACCTTTGGAAAACACACAGTAATCTTTACAATCGGATTGTGTTTGTTTTTATAATCAGTCAAATATTTCAGGTCTCATTCCCCTGCAGTTCCCACTAGCCGGTGACTTTGGGCGGTGGTGAGCAGGGGGGCGGAGCTGCAAAGAGAGTCAGAAAGCAGGTGGACTCTAAGGTGCCACAAGTCCTCCTTTTCTTTTTGCGGCTACAGACTAACACGGCTGCTACTCTGAAACCTGTCAAACCGTAGGAGTTCAGAGGTTCACCAGGAAACGCTGTACCTTTCCTTGGGAGGGTGTGTGGTTTAATGCTAGAAAGGAATAATCTTGTCTGGTTTGAGCGTTTGACTCCCCTACTTTGCTTGCAAAAGTAGCAAGGGGCTAGCCATTTAAAACATAACGCGCGAGTTCCCAGCAGAAAATAAGCTGAGGGCCGGTTACCCCGTCAATCCACCCTCCCTTCCCCTCCTCCAAGCCTGGCCATTCACCTGGCTGAGAAGAGCTGCTCTCTCCATTCAAACATCCCATTAACAACCAGCCGCTCAGACACGGGAGCGCGGAACTGATCCCTTTCAGCAGCTGAGCTCTCCGCTCTAGCTGGGACCAGACCGCAACATTTCAGAGGCGCTAGGGGAAAGAAGGTGGCTGGCTGGAAACACTGGGCCTGTTTACAAGGAGCGGGGCAGGCGTTGGGTATTAGTCACATTATTGGTCCCTTCGCCTTCCAATACAGGGTAAGATGAAAAGGTTTCAATTGCGCCACGCTGGGCAGCCCCCAGCTGCTCTGCAGCCTGCGCCCAAGAGCGCATCGAAATAGAAGAAGCGAATTCTAAAGTATCAGCCAGATTTCCAGACTTCGCTTCTTTAGGACCTGGGGAGCGGGGGGTTCAGTCTATTTTAAAGCAATAACGTTGTCCTGTTACAGCGTCCCAGCTACTCCGCTGCAGTTGTGTACAGTTTATGTGTACTGTGAATGGTAGAAAAATTCATGGAAGTGTGTGAAGGGGGATTTGGTTTTCGGAATTGATCATTCCGACGTGACCTTCCTTTCTCCCACCTCTCCCCTCTCTTCCTAAACAAAACCCTCAGTAGGCAAAATAAACACTTGTACTTATCCTAGAGCCCTGTTCTGATACATATTAAGGCTTTAAGAGCTCAACTGATTACCCCACATAATCAAATGGATACTGCTCTGATCTGGTTTGGCAGCGGTGAACTTGGTGGAAAGAAGCCTGTGCGGTGGAAAGGAACAGGCTGATTCAGACTGTCCTACTACCAATCTTAAATGTAACCATTTGACGCCATTAAAGGTTTTAGGGGAGCTACACCCTAACAGGGGCTCATCCTTGGAGACAATTAAAAGCTTTTTTTTTTCATGGTTGGAAACATATAAATCAACGGCAGGGAGTTCAGCATTATAAAGAAATTATTTATAGGCCAAAGTCTTTTTTTTTTCAAAGCGGGCAAGGGGGACTGAATACTTGAATTCAAATAAGAGGAAATCGGACCATGTAGACAAGAAAAGCTGCAGCAATTATATTCTAAATGTAATCTACATTCATTACTCTTCTTGATTGTAAAGACACATTGTACTGATTATCCAGGGAGGCAGACACAAAACTTTAGTGGGGTCGATTTCAGCACATAGAACAAGCATCTGTCTTAGATGGGGTCGTGCTAAAGTTTTACACTTGCGGGTTTTTGTTTCTTTGTTTTTGTTTTAAGGGAAAGGTCAGATGTTTTAAGACAGGCTGGGTAAGTGTACTACAGCAACTCCAAGTACGAAAAAAATCAAAAGAGAAAAAGCTTCTAAACTTCTCTCCGGTTAATTTTAAACCACCACCCCCGGTGGAAAGTTGATGGTCTATGAAACCGCAAGATCATGCATCCTTTTCGTGCGAACTGAGCATTCCTCAATAAGCGGCCTTACGCTAGTGTTTCGAACCTTTGAGGTTTAGTGACTTCCAGCAGAAGAAAAGCCAGCACTTTTCATAGATAGATCTGCCAAAGGTGGGCTTAGTTAAAAAAGAATCTGGAAAAACACTGATATATTTAACAACAAACGGATTATTTTCTAACTCACTATCCGCCCAGAACAAACCGCTGCCTAAATTAGGTACCAAAATAAAAAAGACTTGACTTCTAACAGGGATGAGGACCTGCCACTCTACACAAATGGGGGCTTAGCACCTCTGAGCTTCCATTATTTAGGCGCCTTCAACACAGTGTAAGTGCGAAACTTTAGACACGAGACTCTGAACATTGTGGCCTGTAGTACTTTATGGTCTTGCAAACATATTAATCCAGAAGTACCCCAAACTCCGATGTTTTAAAAGTGTCCCGTTCCCATTGTCGTGGGTTATTTCTATGTACAAAACACACTACAGTCCAGAAAGGGTCATTTTAGGCTATTGATACTTGTATCCACCTTGTGATTGATTGTGTTGCATCCTGTTACACAAGGTAGAGAGACACACTCAGCTCCTTGTTCTTTGCTTTTTATAGAACCACTCCCCAATGGTATGTTTATGAATGAGATGAAGAGACAGACCGGTTGGAGAGAGAGTCCCCAAAGTCAGCGTCCTGCCCCCAGCTCCCCTTCTCCCAGCTCTACCAAGTGACTCATGTTAGCAAATCAGTAGGCTAAATACTGTTAAACAGGAGGGCCCGCTATACTCACCGGTGCATAAAGGGCAATACAGTGAATCAGGATACACATAGCCGGTCCCTACAGCAACTCCGGCCTCCTTAGGTGGGACTACGCCTAAAACACATCTCCAAACTCTGCGAGCCGCGCTCCAAGGGGGCCAGATGAACAGCCTCCCATCCGGGAAGCAGTTACATGACATGCACGCTGCGTTTCTGGTCTTACCGTGTGCACAGCAGAGGAGTTTGTACATTGTCCCAATTCACCCCCGGCTCTAGCGTGACCAGATGTCCCGATTTTATAGGGACAGTCCCTATATTTGGGGCTTTTTCTTATATAGAGGCCTATTACCCCCCATCCCGGTCCTGATTTTTCACACTTGCTATCTGGTCACCCTACCCGGCTCCCACTGATCCTCCCTCTCCCCCCGGTTTAATACCTCCCCCAGAGAAGTGTCGAAAGGCCAAATACCTTGAAAGCAATTGGCAGCGTCTTGTTGCACCTCCAGTGCGTTGGGAGCACGGAGCAGAGGAAGTTGGGGCTGTCAGTGCGGACCAGCTCCCCGGGGTGATCCGCTAGCACCTCCACCATGCTGCGGTCTGCACTTCTCAGCTTCCCCACCAGGGCGCCGCTGTTCTCCTGGCCAGCCAGCGGGAGCGCCTCGCTCATCTTCCCCGGGCTCAGAGTGGTGGAGGGCGGCGTGAAGCGGCGGCTGGTGCTGGTATCTACGGGGATACGCATCACAACAAGCCTGTTGAGTGAAAAATCTCCCAAGAGTTCTTACAAAGCAGCGACAGGAGTGTAACTCTTCAGCGATCACCCTCTGGAGACCAGGCTAAACGGGTACAGGCTTAGCACTGGGGAGGGGGGGTCGTTTCTATGCCTGGCCCCAAAGTTAATTTTGCTGATCAGTTTGAGGCAGCGAATAAACTGAGCTTTAACTCTTTGGCTTCCTGGGCCTGCGAAACAGAAGAGTTAATCCAGTAATCGAAACAATCTTCCGCACGGGGGTTTACTGTGAAGGCTGCACATTTAGTCTTTGGTTGGTACAAGCGTTATCAGAGGCAAAACTCCCTCCAAAAATCCCGCACACCGAGGAAATGTGTAGGCAAGGGAAAGCTAAGACACACGTTCAGACACACAAGCAAAACCTAGGGCTTCCCAGGAGTTAATTCCCTATCAGTTTTTTCCAGGTGATTTTTCTAAAGTCCCAATAGAATACAAAATACATCAGTATCCATAGACAACAGCCGCTCTCTAAAATGGCGAAAATCGGCTTCAGTCTTCAAAGAATACAATGCGCGAGCTAGGATTTTCAAAGGTCAGCTGACTAGAACAATGTATCTATACACAGACACACACATATACTGTACTTCATCAAATATTTACAGTATAATCTGTAGAGAATTTAAACACAACAGAAATCCATTAATGGTCTCTGCAGGGTTTTTTTTTTTTAAGTAGCCTTGAAAATCAGCGTCAGTAGTTTGACTTGCGTTGCTCGAGAAGTACTCGTGTCATGATCTGTCAGTAATTTTGAAAAAAAAAAATGTTCAGTGCATGGAATTCAGTCTCGACAGAAATGCCTTTGGTACAGAGTCTCTCATAAAGTCTTGGAAAGGTCGCAGCCGATCTCAAGCTCTGAGGCTAAAAAGTCCACACATGAAAACGTGGGTTTGGGGATGTTGGTTAAATTGTGGGTTCTCTCTGTGGTTTGGGGTGTGCAACAGCTCGCGCTCTCTCGCTCTCTCTCACATACAAACACACTCTCTCTTCAGAAGTCAACCAACAATCTGCAGCAGTTTGGTGAGTCAGACAACTTTTTTTTTTTTTTTTTTTTTGGCAATCTCTGAGACAATCTTCCTCTAATTCGGCCGCAGCAGCCAGCTGCTTGACAATATTTTAACCACAGCAGGTGGAACTGTGCTTTCGGAGACACGCTTTTTCTCTTTTCGCCTCAACTCAACGAGATCGATACCGAAAGCTGGCAAGCAAACACTAATGTCTGCTTGCAAAGGACTGCGAGCGTCCCTTCCAAAAAGAGAGGGGAGCTGTAGCCCTCGCTCACACAGAACAACGACAGAAGTTCACAGACGCGGCAGAAGTTAAAATATCCAGCCCAGGAGATAGCTCAGAAAAAAAGCCCATTTCCAAAGCGGGGAGATCTTGAAAGTCTTCACGTGTCCACAGGACTCGAAGGGAAAGCTTCCTCCTGGCTGCCTACTGAACACTGGCTACACAGCTTTATGACCTTCTGTGAGGAGCTGTTTGTTTGCTCATGCTGATCTGGAAAGCCTGGTCCTCCCTCCTCCCTTGCGCCCTTCTGGCTCTATGAATGGAGATTGACTGGAAATGAATTTGCTTTTACTGTAAGAGTGCGGAGGAATGTCATCCCCTTAGCTCTTTTGCATATGGGGAGGACGCCGGCCAATCAGATCCCTTTCCGGTATCAGCCCGGGCGCGGCTCCAGTCCAGGGGCTCCTGGAATTGGCCCGGGCGCTGCCGCCGGAGCTACTGTACAGAGCCCAAGTGTCAATGGGATGCCGCGGCCGCCACAACACACACACAGAGGCAGAGACCATGTGCGGCTGCTGGTGCTCCTCAGACCCCCACCGCAAACACCGACTGCGGGGGCAGCGGCAGCAGCCCTGTGCATAATGCACTCAGCTCCCTGCCTGTGGTTTGCTACAGGATATTATATGCAGTGACACCAGCACCGAGAATGGCAACTGACAAGCAACCCCCTAGCCTAAGCCAGCCCTTCAGAGTCCCCCCCACCCCCTCGGGCTTCACTGCAGTTTTGTCTGAACTACATTTAAAGACCACCTCTACTAGGCAATTGATAGGTGGGTCCCTGGGATGTCGCTTAGGGCAGGGTTAACTGTCCATAATCAGCCTTGCTTTGAAAAATTACTCTCCCAGGCACCAAATATAATCACTTGAACTTTATCAGGGTGACTGACTATATTGAAATGTGTAATGATATTTGCACTCACCCCAAAATACACAGTCTGGACAAACACAATTTTGCAAGGCTATCGGGCCTCCTCCAGTTTAATCTGTCACTTCTTCCTCCCTCCCGCTAGGGTGCTTTCAGGTTTACACAATTTCTACGTCCTCCATACTCCTGGGCTTGTAACATATGCACAGTGCCTGCATAGAATCCAGACCTGAAGACCAGCCCTGTGTAGCTGGAAAGTGTGTCTTGCTCACCAACAGAAGCTGGTCCCATAAAGCTATTACCTCACCCACCTTGTCTCTCTAAGAAAAGGAGGACTTGTGGCACCTTAGAGACTAACCAATTTATTTGAGCATAAGTTTTCGTGAGCTACAGCTCACTTCATCGGATGCATTAAGTGAGCTGTAGCTCACGAAAGCTCATGCTCAAATAAATTGGTCAGTCTCTAAGGTGCCACAAGTACTCCTTTGCTTTTTGCGAATACAGACTAACATGGCTGCTATTCTGAAACTTGTCTCTCTAGAATCTCTTCCACAGGGGAGGCCAGGACAATTGCAGTCTTTGGCAAATGGCCACCATAGATACGCCTGCAAATCACGTTTTAAAAAGGCACAAATCATGCTATTTCAGTCACAAAATATTCAGCCAGAAAGGGAATATGGCAATGCAGGGGCGAACGGCCCTACCTGTGTTCCCGCCATGCCCTCCTGCTGTTACACAGTTCCAAGATAAATGAGGTTTGAGTAACATTGTGGGACCAGCAAACTACAGCTTGCACAAGCATTCATTTTTTTTTTTTAACCACAGCAGTTTGTTCCAACTGTCCTTTCACCTGGCCTGTTTAGGATCTCCTATCACCCCTGAGAGCCCAGTGACTCATCTCCGGTCTAGCAACAGCTAGGGGCCCCTACTCTCCCTCTCACAACTACTATTATAGTCCCCTTCGGCCTCTCCCTCTCAGGATCTGCCCCTGTACGACCACTCTGGTAGTGCCATAGTCACAGCTCAAGTGATAGACCCAGCCAAAAAATACAGTCCCCCCTGCACCACTATGGTGGGGTCGGTGATCCAGTCACTTCTAAAACACAGTTCTCCAATTTTCAAACAGGGAGCACAGCATTGGCCACCCTGCATCCAGGGTATTTTCCTTGACAAGTCCTGCTTATTTCAGGACAGGAGGGTAAGCCTCCAGGGTATTTTCCTTGACAAGTCCTGCTTATTTCAGGACAGGAGGGTAAGCCAGGTTGTTAGACTGCCCATGGTCAAAATGGAAGTAGTGGGATTTCTGTTTGTAGCATTTCACTGTGGACATTGATGGCATGGGTTTAGTTTGGTTTTTCTTCTGATTTTTTTAAGCTGTTGCCCTTTGCCAAAGAGGAATCACTCCGGCAGAGGGTGCTGCAAAGCTGCTCTGGGCCCAGCCCCAGCTGCCCTCTCTCATGGCTATGTCCTGGCTAGCCTTGCCTCCCTGAAATTTCACACCCTTGCGAGCTAGATAAAACAGGGGTTACCAACGCTGGCTTCTGCTGGTGCTTTTTCCACACTAGTGCTCTTCCTGCTGATAGGGCTGGGGGAGCTGAATTAGTGGTAGCAAAGATGTGACATTTTGTGGGGAAAATGGCAAGTATAGACAAGGCCAACATGATCTAACATAGCCACTCGGCAGACACTGTTTGGCCCATACCCTCCTTGCCATCAGCAGCATTTAAACAACCCAAGACCTAAAACTGTGCTAATGACTTAATGAAATTACCTCTCTGGGCCATGCCAGAGCCAGCACTCCTTTGAGATAACAACCCTGTCTCTGCCTCCTTATCCTTCCCAGGAGATGCCCCAGGGGCCTAGAGGCCACAAAGTTGTCCTCTCTTTCTTTCCTGCTTCCCCCTCTTGCAGGAGATTGAAGCTGCTCCTTCCCCCCTTCTCTCTCTGAGTCACATCAAGGGCTATTTCCTTACACTCCATCCCAGTCCTGGCCTCAGCAGCAAGGGAGGGCCCAGCAGTTAGTCCCATACAGGGGTATATGGGGTATGGTGCAGGGGGAGAGGGGGCAGCAGTTCAGAGCAGGGATGAGGAGAAGCAACAACCGCTGGTCCCCCAATGACTGAGGGGAAGTGGGGGAGCAGACACGGTAGTTAATAAGAACCATTGCTAAAAGCTGTACTGTGGTAACAGGCCCTGCCTTTAACAGCAAAGAGGAAGCAAGCTGAAGGCCTGTTCCTGGAGTCTCTGAGCTGCCTACGGTTTATTGCGCAATCGGGGGAAGAAAAAAAAAACCCCACCAAGCCAAACCCCTAATGCAAAAGCAAAACAGCAAATAAACTCCGGGGAAGGCGGTGGCGCTGCACCGCCCCCACGCGCCATCCCCTGCAGCAACGCGGAGCGGCCAGTAGAGGGGGCCAACAGCCTTTTTTCCTCGGCACTCTCCGGCGAAGCCGCAGGGCGCGGGTGGGGAACGAGCCCGGCTGTCCTTTGCCCCGGGCAATCGGGCAAGCTGGCTCCGCACGTGCAGGGAGCCGCATCCGTTCAGCCCGCTCTGGGGCAAAACACGCCGGCGCTAGGCCCGGTCTTTCTGCACAGCTTCGCACGGGCTACACACACGCACCCCCCCCCCCCAGCAATATCCCCCAGCAAGGCTGCCCGAGAGCAGATCCCGGGCAGAATCAAGGAGTCCGGGTGATGAACGCTGTCAAGTATCTAGCGCTCGCTGAGCCAGGCTCTGGGCGAAATGCTGCTTCCCCCCGGGTTACATCAGCACGTGTGGCAACA